GAATAAACACTTCAAACAGAGGATAAAGTGGATATTTGCTGAGAGTCTGGATATTGGTGTTCCCAATCTTTGTTTTCCCGGTACCCCACCACATAAAATCCAGGATGCAGGATATTGGTGATAAACACGGTTTATTTAACAAAAATAAAAAAAATCAGACCTCATATAAAACAAAAAGAGTCCACTTGCCACTTGACGCATTTCGGCTAATCGCCTTCCTCAAAAGTGGTTTAGTTCTACTGTCCTCCATAATCTCACTTTTAAATCCTAAATTTGGTGCCTTTTTCTTATCGGCACTTGCGGTTCTGGTATACGTTTCCGCTTTCGCCATCTTCCTGCGTGCAGGCGCTTACGTTATTATGCATCCTTGCATCCTGGCGATATATGCGTGATGACATCAATCTGTGAGTGCTGGCACCCAAGTCCATTATGTATTCCGACATCTCTCTCATACATATGTCTCTATAGTGTAGGCAGCTCCAAAACCGCCATTTTATTGAAGTCCATTTCTAACATCACATCGGGCTAAATTAAAAGTAAAAGTATATATTTATGCAAAATACATTTACATTTTTTTTCACAGGTAAGTATATCTCAAATATCTATATTAATAAAATTGATCCATACAGGGTATAAGGAGAGAAAATATATAAACAAAGGAAAGTGTCATTAAAAATATCCAGACTCTCAACAAATATCCACTATATCCTCTGTTTGAAGCTTTCGGTCTGAGCCAGCTTTTCTAAGTGGCTCAGAACCATGTGAGTTGGACCAGTAGAACGTATACTTATAAACTGTATTTTACTGTATTGCCCTATGGTCTCTCTCTTTATTGTATTTCTAGATCCTGCCAGAACGTTAAGATTGTGGTAATTTTAAGATGCAGTGAGTGCTCTCACTTTTTAACTATATTTTGCACTTGATTTGTGTGTTTTGAGTGATTCACACAGGTGATTGTAGCACTACTTTTTATCATATTCTTTCAATTGTATTTTTAAATTGTTACTCAGAGAAGAATACTCGCAGGTTTCCACTAAACCATGAATTATCAGGAATTGAATTGGTCTACAAAACACCAGAGTTGCATACAAAGCTGAATTGGGGAAATATTTTAATGTGGCTATTTTTAGCCTTACATAAAACGTTTGCTACTCAGTTTAATACAGTTCCTAGTTTAGTCAACAACCATGTGCAGTTTTCTCTTTAAAAAGGTGAACAGTAGAGAATTGTAGAACAAATTTCTAAACTTAGGAAAAACTCATCTTTAGTAACAGCTCAACTGTTTTAGCCTAGATTTTGCAATTGTCATTAGTTTATCACAAAATACAGTTTGTGTGTGTATATATATATTTTTTTTAGCTATAAATATGGTGTTTGTAGTACACCCTTTAATTATATAGAGCTATGATGACTAACTTTGGTACCCAAAATATTTGTGAACATTATTTTTCCCTATGATCAGACAGACTGACACAATGGGAAATTTTGTTCACCTAAACATTGAGTGCCAGGGTTAGCCATTACTAACACAGGATACTCGAGTGCCATCTGAAATAATTTCCTAATCAGATCTCTAAAGTCATGCAGAAAATCAGTCTCAGTCCTCTGAGTTTTACACAATATGTTGCCCTGGAGATATGAGCTATATTTATTCTTTTCTGCATAGTAACCACTAAATTGTTCTATGCTTCCAGTCTCCTTTCATCTTCATTAACCTCCATTACCTTCTTTAGTGTGCAATTGTGACTTGAATTAAACATATATATAAAATTAAGCCCTGCACTCAAACTCCCACTACTCCTGTGCGGCAGCAATGACGATAGTACACATCAGCCCTAATACATACCATAAAAAACAAAGAAAATAGTTATTTGCACACTATCCCAAATCCCTATGCACATTTAAATAGCTGGAGTTTTTTTAGTATCACTCCAATGGTCATTTTAAGTGAAAGCTCACCTGCCACGTCAAGGCAAAAGGTCTTAGGTGAGTCCTACACTAACAATTCACCTTGCTGCTTTCAGCTAAAAAGTAACAAAGTAACATCTCTAGCGAGACAGAGAGGGGTATTTTTCTAACCCCCTACACACTTATTAACCCTTACAGGGAACACATGGGGTGGGCAGGAGCAGTGTAAGAAGGTCACGCCACTAAGCCAGAAAGTAGGTGTTTCACGTCTACCAGAAGACAATGTTTCAGCTGAAGTAGCCTCTTCTGTTGGATGTGAAATGTGGACTTTCTTGCTTAGTGGTGTCCTTTGTTTTGCCTTATTTGGATTCATTTTCCTTGTACATTGTTTTGTTTATTGCCTGGTGTAAGTCTATTATGTTTATCCACAATAAAAAAGCAACTACAAGGATTATCCCTGTTTATTCATTTGGAACTTCTCTAGAGTGCAATATATTCCCCATTTTTCATTCATTTGGATTTTCGTTGGAATATGATTTATTTGCACCTGATCATTCACTTAATTACACATCGAATTGCATTCAATGTTTTCCTATGAGAAGCATTAGGATGCATGTGCAGCTCTTACATCGGTAAGAAGGAGTCGTAGTACTGAGAAAAGGTGGCAAAAAAGCCGCCCCCAATCACCCTGGCAATGCCTTGCTAGCCTCTTGTCCTGGGGGGCTCAGGAGCTGGATGGCAGGCCACATCAGGGACCCCCCAAAGCTGGCATGCGCTGATGTTGCACGGCACGCGAGGGAGAACTGTCCCCTGAGCTCTTCCCTGTTCAGCTCCCTCGCACGCACCGCAGTGATGCTGGAGCCGGAATATGACATCACTCCGGCATCACTATGAGGTGTGCGAGAGAGCTAAACCTGGGAGATCGGAGCTCCCTCGACGCTTCCAATGTGAGCCTGCCTGACCGCCCGTCCGATCCCCTGCCTGCGTGCCTGCCAGCTCAGTCAGCAGCAACCCCACTGGACCCCAGGGAAGAATCCACTCCAGCACTCCCAAAGGTAGGGAGGCTGGGTGGATTGAATTAAAAAAAAAACATTTTGTGAGTGTGTTAGTGTGTGTCTGTTAGTGAGTGTGTTAATGTGTGTCTGTTAGTGAGATTGTTAATGTGTCTGTTAGTAAATGTGTTAGTGTGTTCTGTTAGTGAATGTGTTAGCGTGTGTCTGTGAGTGTGTTACTGTGTATGTTAGTGAGTGTGTTAGTGTATCTGTTAGTGAGTGTGTTAGTGTGTATCTGTTAGTTAGAGTGTGTGTGTCTGTTAGTGAGTGTTAGTGTTTGTGTCTGTTAGTGTGTGTGTTTCTGTTAGTGTGTGTGTAAGTGAGTGTGTTAGTCTGTGTATGTTGGTGAGAGTGTGTGTGTGTTAGTGAGTGTGTGTCTGTCACTGAGAGTGTATATGTTTTAGTCAGTGAGTGTGTATGTGTGTGTGTATCTGTCACTGAGTGTGTGTATGTCTGTGTGTATGCGTGCATTGGTGTGTGTATGCATGTTTCAGCATGTGTATCCACGTCTGTCAGTGTGTTATGTGTGTCTGTCACTGAGAGTATGTGTCTGTCAGTGAATGTGTATGTCTGTTAGTGTGTGTCTGACAGTGAGTGTATATATGTCTGTCAGTGAGTGTTGTATATGTGTGTTTCAGTGTGTATCTGTCAGTGAGTATATGTGTGTCCCACTGTGTGTGTCTGACACTGAGTGAGTGTGCATCTTTCAATGAGTGTGTATGCATTTCTGTCAGTGAGTGTGCATGTGTGTCTTGTCAGTGAGTGTGTATGTGTCTGTCAGTGAATGCGTGTCTGTCAGTGAATGTGAGTGAGTGTAACTCTAAATGATTGAGTGTGTATGTCTGTGAATGTGTATGTTTCAGTGAAAGTGTGTGTTGGTTAAACAGTGTGTGTGGCAATGACGGTGTAACTGTAAGTGAGTGTATGTCAGTGCATGCATCAGTGAGGACGTGTGTCTATCAGGAAGAGAAATTTGGAAGGGGAGGGGGGTTGAATAATCAGAATACACCACTGCTTGCAGTTGCATGCCATTTTGGCCAGAACATTTATTAATTTTCAGTCAGTCTCTCCAACATTTGTCAAGATTGCTAAGAGATCAACCTTGATGTTCCTTGTGACAATGATTGTCCTCAGATCGTAAAGGTCAAACACATTGTAACATAACCAGAGTTATCAATATAAATGTCTTTATGACTTTGATGATAGAATTGCACCACCAAGCCTTCGGATTACTTGTTAAGGTAGGGTTTTGTGTGCCCAAGAACTTAATTTGAAATGGGATATTTCTGCAAAAAGTCATGTTGGTGTTTAGATTTTAGAGGCTAAGGCAATGATACAAAAAAAGGTCATCTAAAATATACTTCATATGATAAAATCACAATTATTCACATTATTCTGTGTATGTATTTGTTATTGGTTGCTCAATCCTTTTCCAGAATTTCCATCTATCGATAACAAAACAAGGTCTGCATCCGACAATGTAATTCCAGCAAAAACAAACTGTGTTTATACTTTCTCGAAATTATTTACAAATGTGGATTTGTGACCTGTGTCTTCCCAACGTGTTTACCAAAAATGGAAACAAAAAAACAGCTAGAGGACAATGTGAAATGTCCATCAAGAGAAAAGAGAACCACACTTATCATAGTGGGACAAATATTATAATGGAATAATTACAGCAACCCACATCCCACATGATGTTTTTAAACCTTGGAGCATGCAGATTGACTCATGGACTTAAAAATGTTTATATAAATATTTTAGCAGCGGATTAACTTTGAAATATATAATTAAAACTTTTTTTTATAAGAATGGTGAATAGTACTTTGTTTTTCCATCAAGCATACATTTCCTGTACATGAAGCATATACAAGTTTCAGTGTTTCCAATTAGCTGTATGGTTCACACAATAATGTCAGTTCCAACGTGTACAAATAGAACTTTCTTTAGCCAAAATCGTAAGTTCATAATACAGTTATGTGAAATCAAGCTGGTAATGGAAGATAAATCCATCCATGACTAAAATCACAGTTGTTTATCAGATTGAGTGCGTATGTCTGTGAATGTGTATGTTTCACTTTCACTGAAACATACACATTCACAGACATACGCACTCAATCATTCAGAGTTACACTCACTCACATTCACTGACAGACACACATTCACTGACAGACACATACACATAAACCAAGCTGTGGTGAGGTTCAACCCTCTTCTGTCTGTTAGTACCTAGAATTGTCAGGGTTTTTCTTTGTCTGGAGCTAACATCATCGTGGATTGAACTAGTATTCCTGTGTATTGTATATCCCTAATATGGTTTTGTTAAGCTGTGGTGATTCCTCTCTCACTGACAGAAGACTTTAGTGAAAATATGTGAGTATTCCCCTTTAACACAAATGTATCACTGGTCTTTACATCTACATTCTCCTCATCCCCCATTCCGCCTGGCCCCCCAGACTCAAGATGGCTTTTCTCCAGTAGCATTTTCCCATCCTTCCCTATCCCCAAGCAGAAACCTAGGTACCTTAAAGCAGTATTGGACCATTGGAAAGAGAAGCTTGAACATATCAGGTCCGTCCTCTCCTCTGGCACCACCATATTCATGATTATGGCTTTTGAACAGTTTGTAGGTTTGCGCGTGAGACATAGGTCTTGAATTCCTGCATAAGGTATAGAGTCACCTCCGAGTTTATTATGTAAAACAACAAGTCATCAGCATACCTTGCCACATTGTGTTCCATTTCACCTATCTGTTGTCCAGTTATATCTGCATTGAGTCTGATGGCATTCAGGAAGGGTTGGAGGACAAGGACAAAAGAGAGGTGCCATTATGTATCTGAAAGGGTTCTGTAAAAACCCTATTGCGACATACCCTCACTCAGGGTGATTTGTAAATAGACTGAATCCATGTCAGCAAATGTGGGTAGAATCTTTAAGTGTCGGTGTCAAGTAGGGCACCCCTGTTTGTGGCCATCATGGCTCCAACCTTACAAGAGCTGAACATCAAGCTTTATTATCTTTAAAGAATAATCGAGATCTCATTATCAAACCGGCTGATAAGGGTGGGGCCGTGGTGGTCATGAATAGAGCTGATTACATAAGGAAAGTTGAACGTCACTTGGGAGATGGCAACACCTATGAGGTTTACCCTAGGGATCCTACACCCTTTCTTATTAGGGAGGTTGATTTGATTGTTGAAGAGACAGTCTCTAATGGAGTTATAGATCAAACCTTTAAAACTTTACTTATAAAAGAACATCCCATTATGCCTACATTCTATATATTGGCAAAGATACACAAAACGCTGGTAGATCCTCCTGATAGACCGATAGTGGCCAGCAGTGACTCTGCACTGCAGCCACTTTCGGTCTTCCTGGAGTCCTACAGCCTTTTGTTAATAAGGCCAGATCATACATACTAGACAGTAGTGAAGTCCTTTGTAAATTGTCTACTTTCAAGATTGACATCCCTTGCCTATTGTTCAAGTGGGATATAGTAAGTCTCCTTACCTCTATTTCTAATGAGGCGTGGCTTGAAAACCATTCGAGACGTAGTTAATGTGAGTCAGTATACTAATACACAGATGGAATTTTTCATGTCTCTTTTGAACTTGTTTTTACATCGGACTTATTATTTGTTTGGTGATATTTACTATAGACAGCTTAGGAGTATGACCATGGGTCCTAATATGGCTCCATCATATGCCAACCTGTTCATGGATGGTTTTGAAACCAGAAACGTGTATGTGCATTATTTGGTGGAGATTCATCGATGACGTGTTTGGCACATGGTGTGACACCAAGGAAGAATTGGACATATTTTACCAATATATGAACACGATGTGTGGTGATATTCAGTTCACCATGGACTGCAGTGAGGTCACCATTCATTTCCTGGACCTCAAGATCACTCATCATGGAGATAGTTGTCTGACAGACCTCTATATCAAGCCTATGGACAGGAATAGTTTATTGGAATTTACTAGTTTTCATCCACAATGGAGCATTCTCTCTCTACCCCACAGCCAATATATAAGAGTAGCTAAGAATGTGTCAGACCCCATAACTCAATCACAGAGACTCGATGAGATGAGCAATAGGTTTTTGAGCTGTGGATATCCAGCTACACTCCTCAATTCTGAAAAAGAAAAGTATTGGTTATGGAGACAGATTCCCTACTGAGACCTAAACAAAAAACATCTAATAACCAGATGCAGATACCTTTTGTATCCATATTTAATCTACACAGCAACAAAGTGGCACACACTCATTGAGGGATCTTAAAGAAATTATTTTCTAATATTCCAGGATTTCAATCCATTCCATTATTTTCATATAAAAGACCTCAATATTAGAAACACACTAGTCCAAGCTGATATTGGTCCTTTGAAACCTAAAATACAAAGATTTATTTAGACTCCGGTCTATGACACATTTCCATGCCACAATTGTAATTTCTGCAATTCTATTATTAAAGGTGATAAATTTTTTCATCCTCTCACAGGTCGGTCATACAATATTAAGAATTATTTTACATGTGAATCAACCTAGGTTGATGTATAATAGTATTCTCATATGTTATACTTTCATTTTATAATTGTTTGTTTGTAGGAGGTTTTATTCTCCTCTGTGTCTCATTGTCATGTGAATTGTATTTTCAACTCAATAGTTTTTCATAGTAAGTGGATTTTTTTTTCAAATTTATGGCCATTTTTGATATATTAGTTTTTATACTTATTGTCCAATCTTCATACAGCGCCTATTTGTATAATTAAGGATAATTATTCTTTGTCTGTAGCGGAACCAGGGTCCCTAGATATCATCAGGAGAGGACAACTCCACAGCACCATAGTGCCATAACTCTCTCTATTAGGTCCCATCTTGATTTTACCGTCTCTTTTATGTGCCTACATTCAAGACATAATCATGAGTTTAGTGTGCTTGTGTGTGTCAGTGAGCTTGTGTATTGTGAGCTTGTATGCTTGTTTAGTGAGCTTGTGTGTGTCTGTACTTGTGTGCAGTGTGCTTGGATGTGTGTCAGTGAGCTGTCTATAATGAGTTGTGTGGGAGTTTATGCGTAGTTAGATGTTTGTATATGTGTCAATGAGCTATCTGTAGTGAACTTGGTATTAGTGTGTAGTAAGCAGTGTATAGTGCTAATTTTTCTATAGTGAGCTTGAATGTCTGTGAGTGAGCTTGAGTGTAGTGAACTTTCTGTAGTGAGCTGTGTGTAGTGATTTTTCATTAGTGTACTTGTGTGTCTTTGAGTGAGCTTGTGTGCATGTCAGTAAGCTGTCTGTAGTAAGCTGTAAGCAGAAACCTAGATCAGTAAACTTGTGTGTAGTGATCTTGCTGTGTATGTCTGAGCTTTCTGTAGTGAGATGTAGTGAGCTTGTATTTGTGTACCTATGTGCAGGAACCAACATTTTGATTTAACATTTTGCCCATTTTGCTGTCAGTCCACCCCTGTTTGCCTATGATGAGCCTACAAGATATAACATTTCTTTCCCTTTGTTATTAATATGAATAATATAGTGGGAGTAGCATCTTTAAGGAATTACACCTCCATGGTAACTATCTGGTCATTTATTTTCTAAAATATAATTTTATATGTGGGGTATGAGCTTCAGTACATAGCAAAAAAAAAAGCCTATGGCTGTAGATATGCAATACATTTCTACTAAAAAAGCCGTACAGTAATCATGAATTAGATAACACTGGGTGCTACAGCAATTAAATAAAATTAATGAATGTATGCAAAGCCCCAGGACCATGGGACTTCTAGAGCTTAGTACTGGAATAGCAAAACCACTGTTTTTGATATTTTACGATTTATTTATTTCAATATTTATAGTGGTAGTGGTAAAAAGGCAGATGTGGTGCATATATTTATAAAAAGATTAAAATCACAGCCTGGAAATTATAGATCTGTGAGAGCAACATCTGTGGTTGTGAAATTATTTGAAGTGTTATTAAGGGATAAAATCCAGGAATTTATTGTAGCCAACAATGTCATTAGTAGTAATCAAATGTTTTTTTTTTTTTCGAGACTGATCATGTCAAACTAACTTTGATGGATTATTTGATTCAAAATGATGACGTATTGCAGTTTCTTTTAATAACTTTTTTTTATTGGACTGTAATACTTCATTATTTTGCATCGATATTACAGGACTCATATCATAACTAACATATTAATTTTTGAAGAGGTCATAGATCAGGGTGTTTTAGTGTATTTTGCATCCAAGGAATCCATGGCAACTGATATGGTTTCACACAAAAAGTTGTAAAAAAGGTACACATAAAAAGCAATTGGTTTAGATGATTATATTCCTGAATTAAATATGGGCAGAAGCATAGAGACAGCAAAAAAGGTTTTGGCAACAGAAAACAAAATAGATCACTGTAGTACTTAAAAGCTCAACCCTGTATTAGCAAAATTTAGAATAGCAATACAACAATGGACAATGAAAAAAGTTACAACCCTCATACAGCAAAATCTACATGTTTTGTGTGATATGCGCACTTAATCAAGACCATAAAGATACAAAAATTCCCAGTTGGGATATAGCCCCATCTAGCTCAAACACAGCTGCATTCAGGGAGCATCTAAATGTAGTGTAATGCAGAAAAGCAGGTTAAGTCTCTACAAAAACATGGACAAATCAACTCATCAAAGAGCTAGTGGCTATCGTATCCAAACCTAAACATGGAAAAGAAAAGAAGAAAACACCCACAACAAAAAAAACACCTGTGCATAATCATATAAAAGAACTGTTCATGATCAAACAAGAAAAATAAATACTCTATACCAGTGGTTCCCAAACTTTTTAGGATCAAAGCACCGTTAATATTTCAATATTTTTCGAAAGCGCCCCAAGTCTAAATTTCTAGGGTTTATATGTGTACAGCACTGCAGCATATACTGACGCTGTAGTGTGTTTGTGTTTGAAGGGGTGCTTAGTGTTTAATACATATGTTAATATGTAATGTTTGGGTGTGATTACAGGGGTGTGTTTAACCCCTTAAGGACAGAGCTTCAAAAGCTTGTCTTTCACTTAATGACAACAGCATTTTTTTCATTTTTTTGCTGTTTGCGTTCAACTGCAATTTGCATTTT